ATATGATTTTGAGAATATTTTAGTTACCATTAACACCTGTCGGTAAATTCAGTAGTACACTTTAACCAAATTTCAAAGACAACAGTAAAGTAATTATAAAATGACAAATAAAGATGGTTGGTTAAAAAGGTACTTTAAATGTAAACTTGACATTCACTTTGTAAATTAGTATATTAAAGTATGGAAGTAGCCTACATTATTTCCAAATAAGTACTCTTTTAAAGGAATGGTTCATACAAAAATGAAAATTGTCATAATTTACTCCCCCTCATGTCGTTCCAAACCTGTATACGTTTCTTTCTTATGTTGAACACAAAAGAAGATATTTTGAAGAACCAAACAGTTGTTGGTCCCCATTGACTTCCAGTAGGGAAAGAATTACTATGGAAGTCAATAGGGACCATCAACTCTTTGATAACCAGCATTCTTCAAAATATCTGCTTTCATGTTCAACATAAGAAAGAAACTCATACAGGTTTGGAACAACATGAAGGTGAGTAAATGACAAAAATTTCATTTTTGAGTCAAACTCAGTTCCTGGAGGGCCGCAGCCCTGCAGAGTTTAGTTCCAACCCTGCTCCAACACACATACCATGTTTTCAAATAAGCCTGAAGGACCCGATTAGCTGGATCAGGTGTGTTTTAATTAAGGTTGGAGCTAAACTCTGCAGGGCTGTGGCCCTCCAGGAACTGAGTTTGATACCCCTGCTTTAAGGTATACTCTTTTCCACAAGGTTTGTAATGCATTTTGGCTAACAATAGCCAGTGTTGGCATCATCCTTCAGTAAGTGACATGACATACACACACACACACAAATATATTACGTTTAAAAAAAAATACTATGGAAGCCAATGACTAGCAAGCAACTGTTTGGTTACCATCAGTCTTTAAAATATAATCTTTTGTGTTCACCAGAAGAAATAAACGCGTACAGGTTTATAACAACTTGAGGGAGAGGAAATGAAAGAATTGTAATCTTTAGGTGAACTATCCCTTTAAGTCTTTTTAGTTGTAAACTTTTATTTAAAAATACTTCCTTATTAGAACACATGCATTTTAGGTACTGCATATCAGGAAAGATCCCACACGTAAGTCTTTCTTTACGCCATTCTATTCATTTCTCTTATATTCTGCACACCCTCAATATATGTATGCAAAATCTGTGTTTACAACACACTCTACTGTTTAGTCAAGTGTGACAATACACATTAAAACAAGCTCCATCCCAGCATCTCTTTATTTCCTGTGAGACTGTGCAAGCAGCTGAAGCTGAGTCATACTAACTCACGCCTGCCAGGCCGCTTCAACCTTGGCCTGCAGCTTTCAGTCCCCGTTCTTAATCCACTGCGACCCCCAGCCACCTCTCTTCTTTTCCTTAAAAAGATCTATTCATTGCCTTTTCTAATCTCCCCACACAACGTCTACGCCTCTCAAACCAAATTACCTTTCCTGTCATCTCAACATAAATAATCGGTAGATGTGGAAATAGAAAAATGGGACCCCTAGTGGCAGAGTCCTGTCAAAAGCATGTTAGGACAAATTCACAAATATTAAAATCTCTCTCTTTATTCTACAAATATTTCATAAATATAGATTTGTAACAGAAAAATTGCCTCAGGAAAATGATACTAGTGCTGAGATTTTAGCATCATTTTTCCAGCATCATTCTAGCATCTGCACCAATTTGTTTGATATTTAGTCATTTAATTTGACTTAAGTGTCCAAAAGTGTTTTGCTCACGGTACATACTTTAAGATCTGAGACATTTAACCCTCAAGCATTCTTTGTATAGTAGCCCTTAATTGTTTTTTCTTTTAACGTTTTTTTAAATAAATGTCATATCACTAGCTTCAATAAAAAACTATCAATTTATGCCATTTTCTGTGATTTTTGAATTTATTTACCTCCAAAAGTACCATATTTCTATGTAAAATATGCTTATTTTTATGTTATATTTAATATTTCTTTTACTTAAGTAAAAAAGATATTCTAGTAAGTTCAGACAGCCAAAACCTAAAGATTTGGCGACTTTGGTGAGATCTGGTGAGATATGATGCCATCAAAATATCAAAAATATCAATAGCCACTATATGGCTGTATACTTAATAGCTGAATATATGCTGAAATCGATAAACCACTGTTTACTGTTTAAGTACTAACAAACTTAACCTCTTAAGTTTCAGATTTTATCACAAGTTAAAATTGTAGAATTTAAAAAAAAAAATTGTGTTGGGTGAGACTATACAAAGATGCCAAAATATGCTTAAAGACAAATCTGACCATGATAAGGGAAAGACAAATAAAGAGAAAAAGTAGTTTGTCACATTGAGAATGTTGTATAGGCTCACCCCTTCATTTATGTGTATGTATGATCTGCATTGTGTTAGATATATTGATTTTTATTAGCCAAATTAAAAATGCTCTGAATTATAGTATTTCCCATTCATTTCCTATGGGTGCCCACTGAGGACTAATTATATCGGGTTTATTTTCTTTCAACCACTTAACTTTGCTGAACCGAGTCGATTTTTTTTGTATGTGTGTTTAGCTGGCAAACTTAGGAAAAGTAGTCAAGTCTTGTACCGTTCAGATTAAGGAAACTATTTTTTTTTTTTAAATAATTATTTTGCCCAAATTTGGACAATGGACAATTATTTTCCCCAAATTTGTCCCGAAGGATGCTTGAGGGTTAATGAATCACAAAGTACAGACATACAACAATTTTTTTTGCTATACAACATTTCTATATTTCATTTCTATAACAAAAGAGATCAACTAGGCTGATTGAATCTGAGAG